TCAGTTCGTATCGGGGGCTGATGCTTTCAATCCTCTCGTGCGGTTGTCATCACAGTAAACAACTAACCGACCCGTCTCTCTTATCCCAACATGCCAGCATCAGATGAAGACGAAGATGAGGTGCTCTTCACCGTCCACGCCCTAACCTGCCTCTTTACTTCATCAGCCGATAGACAGAAGAAAGCCTTCAATTATTTCAACCGCTTTCTCCAAGGATACTGCCCCCAAATTGGAATTGATGTCATTGTCGATGGCACCACCATTCCCTATCGCGGTATTCCCCGCAAGTTCTCCAACAAAGCTATCGATGAATTCTGGGACAAACTGTTTGGAAATTTCATCTATTTCATGGGCAATAAAACGAAGCTTGCAGCAAGCACCTCTGAACAATACTGCTCCGGAGTCAAAACCTACTTTGTCGGCAAGTTCAGAACCGAGACCCCAATCCCTACTTTTCAACAAGGCCTTTGGAAGCAATTTTTACAGAAGCTCAGAGCGTTCTACCGTGAATCCAACTGTGCTACCGGCAAACGAACAGAAGAGAAGGCGACCAGCACGCGACGAGACCGGGAAGCCTTGGCAACTGCATGCATCTGGCTGAAAGCACCACAATACGCCGAGTTCTGGCATCTCTTAAACGCCAGTTATCACTGCTGCGGACGTGGTAGTGAAGTCTCCCTAATAAAAGCAAGAGACACACAGACCACTGATGTGAATGAACTAACCTACAACTATGAAGTCATTACAACCTACTGCCAACGTCAAAAGGACAATGAACCGCAAAACCTCCCAATCTACCCTCACAGAGATGGAATTCTCCAGGATTTCTACTTCTCTCTTCTTCATCTACTCGTATTGAATGGCTGCAACAATGAGTACACCTTTCCAATCTTCTCCAAAGCCGCGCTGAAGACGAAAGGAGGCAAATCCGACAGTGGTTTCTCCAAAGCATGGACCCACCTCTTCGAACGACTCCGAGAAACCTTCGAGATCCTTGCCGATGAAATCAACGAAGAACTGTCTTCGCACTCCAACCGGAAAGGCTCCAACCAGGACATGGCAGAATGCCTCTCCTTGAACGGTATGGCCGGAATATTTCGAACTGGTTGGTCGGTAGGTGGCCTTCATTCCGTGTTTGATTACATCAATGGGTCTCTGAAGATGTCACACCAGGCCGGTAAAGCCCTAGCCAACTGGACAACCAAGATTGGTGAAACGATTGTCGGCGGCCAACCACCAACCTTTGATGACATTGAAACAGATGTCGACACGCTGAAAAAATTCACCAATGTGCTGTTTGAAGACGATGTAAAGAAACTCTGGAACCCCCAAGTTTGAGAACTACTGGTCATGACCCTGCTACTGCGCTACAACGAGTTCTGTGAGATCCTTGAATGTCATCCGCTTGCAAAACTTGTCGAAGACGACGTATCCCAGGGATTCACCAGCTCGACTGTTCGAGACAATCCTTTTCTCTGCCGCATCCATCAAGCATTGGTCAAAGCCCACGCCGAAGATTTGCTGTCCCACTGGACCGACAAAGCTCGGAAAGCCTTCCTAGCCCGCAACATGCCAGCCCTCCCGATCGAGAACTTCTCCTTATACGGTAGCACGCTGATTGGAAACCAAATCCTCATAGACCCCCGTTGCTTTGTTGATCACTTCAATGCCCTCGCCTCGGTAACCCAATCAATCCACATGAATGTCCAACGCCAACAACACATGCTTAATGACATGCGCAATGCAATCCAGAATGAGAGCAGAATCATGAGCTCTTTTATCGTGGGACAACTATGTACAATGAACCAAGCCATCCAACGACTTGAGAGAAACCTCATAGGAGAAGCCCCGGAACCACCTCAACACAAATCGAAATGCCTCATCAAGTTTTCAACCAACACGGAAGGAAAGAACACATCCCTGACAGAACTAACCACAGCCTTCTTTGCTGAAGATTATCGCGCAGGCTATGCACTGGATCAGAGAAGCGGCTCCTGGGATGAACTGTCGAAACCGAGAACCCTCATCAACAAATTTGGTTCAATGAAATGCGCAGTAAGGTTCGTCTTGATGCATGCAGACGAATTCCCTCCCACCGCAAACAAAGAAGAGATCAGAAGGATTGCAAAACCGGCGGAAGACCAGATACGACAAACCCTTCAATTCGAGAAAGACAAGGTCATCACGCATAGCAAGCTGGAGAGAAAATTGAAACTCCCTGCATTTCGCGAAATTGAGAAGAAGGGAAAACTACCAGAGAACACCCCAGAAGATTGGCGAAAGTTCTTCGAGTGATCATTTTAAGCTACTAGTCTACCACACGTGATTCCTCTCACTAGATAGTCCGAAAGCTTCTAAAGTCTTCTTCCTCCCATTTAAGAACGTCCCATTGTCGACGTATCTGTGAAAACTGTCGGTACTAGAATCAACCACCGTAAGCACCTTTCGCTTCTTGTTTCAGCCTTTCTTGTTAGTGATTTCAATGGACATTCTGTGACCTCTGAGTCTCTTTTCCCCGGTAATCTCAAGTAACTCTGGCTCGGTGATCCCATCTCTCTTTGTTACTTTGAAATTGTTGCCGTAGCCCTTTTAAAAATTTCTCCTCTGCGTTTCAATTCCATCAGCTTGTCTTTGATCTGACGCATGTCCATCCCAAGTCGAAGCCTGAGTTTGTTAAGCTCAAGTTGAGTTAACTTGATCATGCCATCGTCAAATCTAACTCTGCCACAAAGAGTCTTTGTCCTGATGTAAATCGTCAGCAGATGCTCCATGTTGCAAAGATGTGAGCCTTGTCGAGATTTGCTTTTTTCGGATTGTTTAAGCCTGCGCATCTGCTTTAACTAGTTAGTGAAAGGTGTCAAGTTGAGTCGTAGCTGAACTATCAAACTGAAAAGATCCATCCCTACACCTTCTACACCTCCGTGTTTTTGGACAATGCAACCCTGGATATAGTTGATCCTGGACTTCTTCAAAGGCCTCATCGTGACTCTCTGAGGTGACAAGCGCCCAATATCCATCAAGTAATCCCTGAACCTACCGATACCTTTGAGACCGACAACTAAATAAATACTTAGGATTCATCTTCAAGAAATACCCAGCCTGTTTTCTAGATACCGCCCGTCGAAACTCGACATAACCAACCATCCAACCATCAATTAGACATTTCCGTACAAAACCTAGATCCTCCTCGTCGTCCACAGTCTCTTCTGTAGAAAAAGATTGCAGCAAATAGTGCAACCAACACGACGCCTTATCAAACCTGTCTCCACTATGAATCCACGGATATCCTTCAAATAGAAAAACGCTCCCCTCCACCATGGTTTAATTCGAAAGAACCATAGAATCCTTTTGTTACATTGGTTTGTAACGCCGTCAATGTAAACGTCGCGAAACCCCTCCGCAACCTCTTCGCTAGATCTCATCTTATGAGCACTAGCTCCGTAGCTAGCTAGCACTGGCACATTCGGAGCGCAGGGAGAATCTCGAAAATGAAAGGATCAAGTGTGCGTATAAGAGGTCTGTAAGCAAAGCTCAATATTACACAGACCTCTGCCCCCTGCCCCAAAGTACTGTTTTACTATACGATTTTTTGGGGCAGGGGGTCTAAGCCTGCCCAAAAGTATCTCTGCCCCATCGCAACACCTCTGCCCCATTTTTTAAAACTAACCTTCCAAGTACTTTTAAGGCAGGCTAACGCAAACTCTAGTCCACGCGGCGACTGAGCGTACCCAATCTCTAGCTAGCCACTGCGGCGTATGAGTGGACCCAATCTAGACCTAGCTAGCCCACGCGGCAATTGAGCGTACCCAAACAAAGCCTCGTGGCGATTGAGCGGTACCACAACCAAACAAAGCCTCGCGGCGATTGAGCGGTACAACAACCGGACAGACAGCCAACCGGACAGACAGCCACTCTAACACCATGCATTAATACCTATTAATATTTGAATCGAAAATAGCCTCCTCACTTCGATGTTCTCTCTTCCGTTTCAACGTAGCAGCCGCGCTCCTGTGGTTCTGCAGTAGAACATTGCGCCTGTTCTTGTTGACTTTCCAAAGCGCATGAGCCATTGCCATTTCTTCCTCGGTAAGGACAACTTGTTCAGGTGACTGGACAACCCCCTGATCAGTTTCTTCGGTTTTAACGGATGGCCGCACCAGATTGAACCCCCACGTAGCAATTTTCAATTGAGCATACTTCCTTCTCAGTTGAATCAAACGTCTAGCATTGTTGATGACATCCTTTTCCTGTTCGGCCTCAATTTCTTTGATTTGTTTTTCAACTCCTGTCCTCCCTCTGAACCATTTGCCGTGATCAGTTTTTTTCTTGCCATGCCACTCAACAAATCACCCTTCTTCATCATAGTCATCCTCGTCGATTATCACCTTATCATCAGGATGTTGAGCATTCCATCGCTCCTCCAATACTCTGTGAGGAACCCATTTCCACGTATCGATGCTTATATCCATGTACGCCTCCCTGTCCTTCCCGTACAACGAATCGGGCTTGTGCATGTCATTCCTGCAAATAACTATTTTGACCTTGTTCCGGAACCGAACTGGTTCTGTGTTGTATTTGGATGCAAACGCCTCCCCGTTCTTAATAAGCTCCAATAGAGAAAACACGCCTTTGAGGAACGCCGGTTCCCCCTTCGCCTTTGTTATTTCCAAAATCAAGAGCTCCAATGAATGCCTGTAATCTCTGATAGTGTCGATGAGATCCTTGGCCGGTGCAACCGTCAGGATCAGAGCAGAACCCTCTCTTCGTTGGTTGTATTCATACTTTAACCGCCCCATCATCATGCTTTTCCCTTGGCGGGTTTGCATACTGTGAACGGTGATAATCTCACGACCGTTGTCAGGCTGTAGTAGCTTACACCGCAATTCCCACTGCCATAGATGCTCCTTATCAAACCTCTCAGGTTCGCGTATAGGTGTAACATCATTAATCAATTGCCTTGCGTATCTCTCTCCACCCGGAGACATCATTTGGTTGGGAAACCGGTACCTCAATACCTTCAAGTCGATAACCCCCTCCTCGTAAATAGCATTCCGGAGATCATGCCGATCTTGGCGTTCTTCACCCTTGCGATTAGCATCAGCGAAAATCTCCCCCTCCAATCTGAAGTCTCTTTCTTTCTTGCAGTATTTGACGTATCCTAGCTTGTCTCTAACCGGTGCTATCCAAACACCGCCAGACCACTGAACATCCGCTTCGTCGTCCGTGAACCACTTATGAATCTCTGTAATTGTTTTCCTCTTTGTCCAATGGGTTTGAATGTAGACGTGCATGTGCGGCTTACCAGTTTCAGGACAAATCTCTCTACCATGTAGAACCCCACACCATTTGAGATGTGTTTTCATCCTGTTCAACTCTGCACGGTGGACTTCATCAGTATCCCATAGTGTCAAAGCTATATGCTGAAGCTTTGGCCGTGCCTTCTTTTCCTTTTCAGTCAACTCTGACGCAAGTAAAACACCATTGTCAACGACGCCGTCTAGATCAGGATCCAGACCCCCATCTAGACCCCCAGACTCATCCATGACTGACTCATCCATGACCGATACCGTATCCGTGACTGAGACCGTATCCGTGACCGACACTGTATCCGTGACTGACTCATCCATGACTGACTCGTCCATGACTGCGTACTCTACTCTTACAAATTCTGTGATTCGCAAATTATGACTCCAACCTCAGGCAGAAAAAAAACCAACGACCTAAAACTTGACACCAAAAAGTTCCACTCCTCAACCGATTGTCTCATTTTTTCTATTCCCCTCCCCTACCTAAAGCCGAGCAAGAATGATTGTAAACCCGTCCTTCAACTACCACCACGACGCATTGTCGATGCTGAAATACATCAACGGTTCGGTCTCCCAAGTCCATCCTATCCGATATAAAGGGAGTCACGAGAAGATGCGCAATCTCCCCGCCGCATCCCGCAAAGTTTTAATGGAAACCCTCTGCCCATCGGAAGGTTACGATCAGGCTATGTTAGTGGGAAAGCACATCCCTCGAACTCTCCTTTCTGAGAAGATCCTATCTAGATGCCGCCAAATCGATGCGAACTCGTTCATCAGGCGAAAGAAGTTAATGATAAAAACTGTCTAAGTATCAATTTTTTCCTCCTGTTCTTCTTCCTTCTCCAAGTCCTTCCTGTCAATAGATTCAAGTAGGATTTTAACAACAAACTTTGGGTCGGTGGCAAAGGGTTTCAACCTCTTGATGGAATTATTGCCACTGCAAGGAAGCCTGCCAGTGACAGTCAAGCCCCTGTCAATATGCACCATCCGACACAAGCTCACCATATCCCCAAAATAAGAAGGCTTACAACTACTGAATCTACCTAATAACCTTTTTGCATATGCCTGAGAACAAGGCGAGTTAAGATTCATGTACCCCCTCAGCAACAAACAGGACGCGGCCTGGTTCTCGTCCTTTGCAATGCAACTGAATTTCGCTTTATTTTCGAAGAGAGCTTTAAGGTAGACAAGAGCATCCTCCCGCCTCTTTTCCGCTTTCTCCTTTGCCCAACCATCACCGTAGTTGAAGAAAAGACAGAAAGTATATTATTGCTTCGTTGTGCCTTCCATGTTTTTAAATTTGGAATTTATGAAAAAGATATATAGCAAGCGTTAAATTTTAAGTCCTCCCATAGTTTTTAATTAATCGTTCACCTGGTGAACAATGACAGAACAAGAACTATTAATAGAACTCTTAAAATATGCTCCAAATGGGGGTGATTACTAAGAAGGATGTTGCCGGGTATTTGAGATCCAAGGTGGAGGATCCAGTTTGTGATCCTTATTGGATGTTATCATCGATCTGTTTGCCAGACCGCCAGACTCTGGCAAAAGGAAGGGCATATCCTAAAAAGATCAACATCTCGGATCAAACAAACCGAGAACCCACACCTCCCAAGTCTCGGCCTAGCTAAAGGCGTGGGGACACCTTCGAACTCCATCTTGTATTCCATCTATCTGAATGCGATACAACGGATAATGGTTGCATCGTTTTGAATACTTCTTGACCAACCCAGCCACGGTTTGCGGATCGCGTGACCAGTGAGATGAGACGCTCGTGCCAAACCATCCGTGACCGGTGATCATTCGTGTTAACCGATGAGCGCACCCACCACAGAGAGCAAGCCGAGTCCCGACACCACACCCTCTCACATTTCTTCTGCAAAAGATTGCTGGACGATCCGGCAATTAGTGCCGAAGCTAATTATGAATCACGACTGAATGGTGCCCGTGGAATTAGGCGACAGTCAGTGGCTTAATTCTAGGCGATTGCCTAAATAGTCGCCTATTGTTAGGCAATTGCCTAAACTGTTGCCTAATGCTTCGAGAAACAACCCGTTAAATCCCATTAACGGTTGCCTAAATCCTAGCTGTTGCCTAAACGGTTGCCTATTTTTCAACGGTTGCCTAAACTGTTGCCTAATCATAGTAAAGCACGTTTGACGACAGTTCTATTCAGTCGTGAAACTGACCTCACAAATCCCAATTGCCGGATCGTCCTGGCAATTTGCCGCAAAGGTCGTGCTTGGGATGGGCACTCCCTTTTAAAAACTCCATCATGAAGCCATTGGAGATCACAACCCCGTCACTGCCGTGCTTCGCTTCAGCAGTCACGGTTGCCAGTAATTACGAAGTAGTATTATAATTCTAAATATATCAGTCAACTATCGACGCAGATTGACAGTTACAGACACTGAATCGAAACAAGAACTTAGTTCTAGCTAGCCAGATATCCAGGTTTCGAGCGCATTGCGCCAATCTTTCGCCGCTGGGTATGAAACGAAAATGTTTGTGTTTTCCCACATGCTGCGGACTTTTTCAGCCGACAGAACTTCCCTCGTATTTTCTTTTATCGGTTCCAACAAATTCTCGCCCTTATCAAGGAACTCCACTTTTGCTCGCTTCGTATAGGCATTCATTTTCTCTGTAGTGGGAAGAACGTAAAGAATGTTGACCACTGTTGTTTCATCGGCACCGATTTTGTTTCGAAAAGTCTGCAGAGTCCGCAGTTTGAAAGGGTGGTTGCGCTGCCATGTAGTCTGAAAACCCCACCATGTCCCATCCAAGAAGATCAAAAAATCGACAAGACCGAACACAGGATTAGTTGGATAGTTGACTTTCCCCTGGTCAAAGGCGTCGTCACTCCTGTTAATTTCCATCTTTCTGTGACCAAGCTTGATGGGAACGGGTATCGCTGGACTTGAATAGCCAACTGCGTTATAATCCCATCTTACTGTTTTCGGTCCAAGTGATAATAGATGGACAGCACTAACCTCAAGGTCCATCCCAGTAGTGTCTTGGGCTTTCTGGGCGAGGCATTCCAACAGTTGACGGCCATGCTCTTTGGGGTTGGTTAGGCTAAGCTTCTCCCGAACCATGATACGAGCAAAGTCGCTGGTCATAATGAGGTCGTGTTTGGAGAAGGCGTCGTGGCCACATTCTGGAATATCATGGTATGCACAAATGTAACCGCTGATATTGTTCTCCAATTGAGCGTTTGAGCTGTCGTCAAGTCCGAGGTGCATGGAACGGATGACTTTAATATCAACACTCTGGATTCTTTCCTCAAGCTCATCAGTATATTCCTTCTGAGTTCTTTTTGAGTATTCAAGCGTGCGGCGGATAATACCTCCAAACTTATGGTACTGGCTTTCAAAATCAAAATCTTGACCTGAGTCCTCGAGCTTTAAAACTAAATTTAGATCCCCATATGACCAGTTTGGTGTATACACAAAGGTCAAAGGTGAAGCTTGCTTCTTGTATCCTTTAAGCCGTTTTGGATTTGGAGAGATACTTGAAAAAGCAGGCGTGGCGGCTTGGTTCAGCGGGATAATTGATTGATCCTGCTCTGGTTCAAACATATAGAACATGTTGTTGAAAGCTGCCAAAAAATCTTCTACCTCCCCATACATGTCAACATTTGGCGTCGCATGAACCATTTTCCAAGCCCCGGAGGTGGCAAGATCGATCAATATAAATTTTGTCTTGTATTGTCTCAGGATGAATCTGGGCATAAAACCGATATCCGAACGTGCCTCGGGTGTCATCTGCAACAATCGCTTCAAAAAATACACTTGAAACCAAGACTTTCCAATACCAGCATTGCCAGTTAATATGATTTTTTCAGCATTGTTCTTCCTCCACATTTCCATAAAAGCGTCGAATAACTTGGGATAGCACGACCGTTCAAAATACAATCTAGAAGGCCGCACCTGTAGATGAAAAAGTTCCCACCCAAACTTATCGTAGAAGTCTTGGGGAATTTCCATCGCTTTCAGTCCTGAAGGGCTTTCACCACGGTTGATCAGATTGCCCGCTTTCAGCATATCACAAGCCATCGAGTAAGCGTTATGTCTTTCGAAGTGAAACTTCTCCAAGGCTGAATCAGCCGTTCCCTTGTCCCTAGCGAAGTCTCTGATAAGCAATGCTTTCAGGTTGGCCTCAGAAGCCTTCCTCTGCCTTTTATAGGGGCTCTCGTCAGGAGTCGCCACGGTCTCGTCTAGTGTTTGTTCTTGAGAGGGAGCTGTCGCCATGGTATTGTTTCTTTTTCTTGTAGGATACCTTAGGCTGGTCTCTACCGGAGGGACTAAAGTAGGGACTAAAGTAGGGACTAAAGGAGTACTTTAGCACCTTGTTTAGTCGCAGATTTAGTCCGTACCCTTTAGTCACGGAGGTGTCTACCCGCCACGGACTAAATCTTGAACTATCCAGTTTAGTCGATATTTTAGTACAAACTTTAAGAAAAATCTACCACGATCGACTAAACGTTTCGACTAACCAACGTTTTCGTTTTGGATTTCGCTAGCCAACGATTTCGCTGCCATTTCGCTAGCTAGCTAGCCTCTTGTTCATTTTGCTAGCTAGCTAGCTAGTCTCTTGTTCTCTTGTTTTTTATTGTTATTCACTGATAGACCATGGCCAACACCAAGAAGAAGGCTAGTGAAGAGGCGGAGGTTCCCTCTGGGGAGGAAGAAGAGGAAGAAGAGGTACCGCTGAAAGAACGAGAGGAAGAAGCCTCTGATGATGGCGATGATGATGACGATGAGGACGATGAGAGTATGGACAATGCAGCCCTTGGAAAGAAGCTTTTGGATAGAGTCAGTAACCCATTGAGGAGATCTCCTCGGCGTAAGACCGTCGCCAAGGTTACCACCAAGCCTGCCACCGCCAAGAAGAGACCTCGTTGTGGCAAAGGCGGCAAAGGCGGCAAAGGCGGCAAAGGCGGCAAAGGCGGCAAAGGCGGCAAAGGCGGCAAAGGCGGCAACAACAATAAGAAGAAGAAAGTCAAGAAGACCACAGCTGTCGCTGATGATGAGGGCGAGGGCAAGTCCCAGCGCAAGCGTGGTTCGAAGTTTGATGATTTTGAGCATCAACGATTGTGCCGTGCCTTCATCAGTGTCACACAGAGCATGAAGGGCACTGATATGAAGAGAGGAGACTTCTGGAAGAATCGAGTTGCTCCAAAATACAACAAACTGCTTGACCAAGAGGCTGAACCTGATAACGAAGGTGACACTATCTATGTAACACAAGCCGCTGACCAGCTCCGTCGCCGTTGGAATTTGATTGCCGGACGCTGCCGAAAATTCATGGCTTGTTACCGTCGGGCCCATGCCGAGCACCGTACTGGATTCAATTCAGAGGAGGACTACATTGATTTTGCCGTGGAGCTATACAATGAGGAGAATAATGAAGCTTTCAATCATCGCAATTGCATTCCCAACTTGACAGAGTGGCCCGTCTTTGATCTCCATATCACCGAGACAGAAGCTGATCGCAGAATGGATGAGTTGAATGCTGAGCCAAGTGGTGTTGACGAGAGCAAGCCGAAAGCCAACAATACTCGCGATCCAATGGGTTCTTTGCATACCCGACCCACTGTCAAAAATACGACAAAATTCAACCTGGCTCTTTCCAACTCGGTGGCTTCGAGCAACCAGGAACGCAATCAACATTTGGAGTCCATTGCCTTTTCCCAGCAGATGCTCTCCGAGGGAGTAGTCCACCATGGAAACATGAAGTCCAAGATGAAACGGGTGGAGCTTTTGATGAAGTTTGGCAAGATGACGGAGGCCGAAAATTTGTTGGAAGAAACAACAGCTGACGAAAAAGCATTCGAGGAACGGCAGAATCAATTGCGGGATGAGCGAGAACAGCAACAGGCAACCAAAAACCAGCGCCAAAGCCTACTCCTCCAACTGGCTGTAGTTGAAGAGGGCAAGAGCCCTGACAGCCCTGATTCCTCCATGACAGATCCCGCGGCTGCCACTGCCGCGGCTGCTACTGCCACTGCCACTGCCGCTGCCGCCAATGGAGAAGTAAGTGAAAAAGGAGTGGCCGATGACAATTCCGACTCGTCCTAATGCCGCCACCGTATATCGATAGGATGACAATAGTGGAACATGGAGCCACCCAAAAAACTATTCCGAGGTTTAATTCAATAACTATAGTTTGTGTCCAGTTTTAAATTCTACAAGAGCCACATGTAGACGCTCATGCTCTGTGATATCCATCAGCGAACGCCACTGTTGCCTACAAATCATAGTATCTCGAACACTCCTTGGTTGTTCCTCCCAACCAATCTCGAGTGGCTCCTCTACTAGTTTTTGGACGATTTGCCTGTCAGGCGGCACATCAATGACAATTTCTCGATCAACTGTAGTGACACTTGGATCGTACTTGGCCCTCACATCTCCCATCACCCGATCCACAACACACATGTTGTGGAGAATGAGGCAGGTGTTGACACGGTTTCCAATTTTGCGCAATTCCAAATCCAGGAATGGACGAGCCATATATTGGAATTTGGCCTGAATCACACCGTATGCCCGTTCGATGTCCTTCCTAGCCGCCTCCTGCCAAGCGGAATATTGTTTCTCCCAATCCAAAATTGGCTCGGATAAAGTCTTGACAAAACGGGAGTATTGTGGGTATATACCGTCGACCAAAATAAACATCTGTGGAAATGCTTCATCGCCAATGTCAAAAGGGACGACACCACCAATAGTCTCGAGATCGGTAAGCTTCCCGCTCCAGACTCTGGAAAGCGGCGAGTCCTAGATCTGACTCTCTTCAACAAGCGTGAGACAGTGGTCGTTGGTAGTGGTTTCACAGCAGGCATTCCTGCTCGTCCACTCCCACCCACACCAACAACATTTGAGGATTTCCTTGCCACTTTGGAGCCTTGGGAGACAGCTCTCTGTGACGAGCTTGAATGGATGGTTGACGCCTACTCAGTCCTGCAGATTGTCACAGCCATGCCCTTCTGGGTGGCGAGCGATGGGGCTGCCGACACTGACACAGGAAAGGCGAGCTTTGCTTGGGTTCTGGCAGACAATCGCGGTCAGATTGTGCTTCGGTGCTCTGGTCCCCTTTTTGGTATGGTTCCGACTTCCTGCACTACGCTAAAAGCTAGTGTAAAGATCTTTCGAGTGTTTTGAGTTTGAGAGAATGAAAGTTATGAGAAAGATTAGAAAGCTACGAAAACTAATCCATGAGAGAGATCGTTGTGAAGCTCATTGAAGTTGGTCTCCCGCGGGAGGCCTCGAAGTGTGATATCGTAGGTTATGGCAATAACTCTACGTACTCCACGGTCCATTTCCGGAACACGTGGAAACTTCAGCTAGTAGCTGTCTAGTAGCGTGGAAGCTTTCCACACCGGCTAAATATCTAGAGCGATGTTTCATCATCAACCTAGTATGACTAGAGCGGTCATTGAGAACCCTGTCTCAATAACTATTCGCGAAGGACTACGTCATGAGTCGAACTCAAACCCTATCTAGGATCGAGTCGCGAATAAGGCTAAGAGCCGTGTATTGCATTCGCCCCCTGACAAGGGTCACAGAAGGCGCGACATCCGTCGGACAAGGAGAACATATGAATTAAAGTGCGGGGCACTCTCCGGAGATTGGATGTAGACATGTTCGTCGCACGATGGCAATCCTACAAGGGGATCAGGCCTTGTATGGGTGTAAATACCTTATGTTCCAAGTCTGGTAGACTGTGCCGCCATTGGCGGTAGCATGTCGGAGCCGTACGGTGCCATTGTTATTGACTCGGTCTTTATTGTAAGGACCTTCGTACTTTGGCTGACCGTACTTGCGGTGCTGATACTGTTGAAACCTCACGGTATTGTTGACATTGTATTGATGAGGGACACACGTCGCGTTTCCCTTCTCATTGTTTTTCTGGATGAGTCGTTGGCGACGTTCTTTGATGTGTTTCCAGTTTACTTCGAAACGGATGTTGTGAATCGTGTCACGATTGAACACGTGTGGTAATGAACTTGCGACGAAGTCCATATGCATCCCGGAGAGTCTTCTCAACTTCTGCGCGGAACTCACGTTCTCTATCCATGATAACCTCAGCAGGCCATGGATACTGGGTGAGCCACGTCTGTTCTAGAACGATGGCTACTTCGTCTGCTGCATTGGAGCAGATCTCGGCAATCTCGAACCATTCGGTTACGGGATCAATCATTGTCAAGCATGAAATGGACAGGGATTCCTTTTCTTGGGATCCTCGACGTTATATGTACATGTGATCTTCTGATCCATATGTCTCGATAGTAGTTCACTAGTCCAATGAATCTACAGTTTCCTTCCTGTTGTAGGAGGAGCGATATTCTGGATCGTCTTCTATTTTCTTGGTTACGGGTGGATTCCTTCTCAAGTAATCCAGTAGCCTAGATATTCAAGTTCCTTTCTTTCGAAGAAGGACTTGGTGTATTGATCTTAAGTCCGCTTCTCGAAGCCTTTAGGAGAACTTCATCTAACTATTCACGTGATCCACTAGATCGCCGTTAGTTAAGATGGTTGATCATCAATGTATGCACGGACATTTTCCAAGTCGTGACATGAGTGTTCCCATCTTCCTTGTGGAGATGTCGGCTATGCATAGGCCCATTGGTACTCGCTGGTACTCGTATTTTCTGAATCTGTCTAGATTCAGTAACATGTCTTGTATCCTTGGGATCTGGACGAGGTTTTTGCTAATCCTTTTTGTTCAGTTCCCGACGTCAGAGATGAACCGTATAGATCCATTCTTTTTGGGAATGATAATGTTGGTGCCGTCCACTCGAACGGTTTACCGTCTTAAGTGCTCCTGCGTCCCAGAGAGTTCGACCTCTGTCTTAAGAGTGTTGGTATGGACACGTGGAGTAGGGTAAGTCCCAGTGTGATAGGGTTTAGCGTCAGGACGAAGTTCTACTTGTAGTTGTCCATTTGTCGCTTCCCTAAAGTACCTTCGAATTGGTCGGAGCACTTGGTCCATAAGGATGAAGGGTTCCTGCTTTCCTTAGGATTGCTATCTTTCATAGGGAAAGATGTGCACTGGAAACGAAAAACTCTGCCAACAATGAATTTGCTCTGTAGTTTCCTCTACAGAAGGGGCAGAGTGAACTCCCGAGTTTTGGCTAAGTAATGAGTTCGAACAGGCCGCAGAATGATGTGACCCGAGTTGGCATGACAGGGATGGCAGGCAATGATTCGATCCTTGCACAGACCAGGATACTACTATCTATATATTATACCTATATATATATTTATAACCACAGGTTAACCGT